TGGCCAAAACGTTGGCATGTATAACACCGGAGTGGATTGGGGACATACACCTCCACTCCGATGTTTAAGTATCCAGCTTTAATTGATTGGGGAATGGTTGCAAGAGCAAATGTCAGGAGATAGGTGTTGGTGTTAATGACGACACCCTCTCTCTTGATGGTGAAACGTTTCACCGCTGTCACAGCCTGCTCCTTAAGCTCTGTTGCAATGTCCTCCTCGGACATATCCGAAAGACAACGAGCCCTGTCCCGAACAATGCCTCGATAAGAATTTAAAGTTCTGTGCACAGACACAGCAACCTCAATATTTGCAAACATTTTGATTGACAAAAGATTTAGAGATTGCTGTTTCCGTGCACACTCGACCAGAAGCGAGCCGCTACGAAGACGGGTGACGTTCGCCACTTCCCCACAAATTCCAGATATTGCTTTGGAGATCGCAAAAGGATTAAGTTTGATAGGTAAATTATCTTTGCCCTCTATAACCAGAAATCTAGCCCATGACTCAGCACTTGAAGAGGTATTTCTTGTAGTTTTGGTCAAGTTCATCCAAACGCCTTTTCTTTTCATTTCTCAGTGAACCAGATTGTTGTGACGCCATAGTGAAAGGAAAAAGATTCGGCACCCCTGCTCCCCATCCACCACGGAATGTCAACAAGGACAGTGTCACATAGCACCGGATCTCCAAGATGCTGACACCAAGGATACAGGGGTGTTATACTCAAGTGAATACGACATGAATAGCTGCATTTATCTACCAATTTAATGCCAGACTGGTTCGGCCCTTGACAAGAAATTCGAGACATGCATTATTCAGAGGTCAACATCACCAGATTGGCCCATGAGCCACCGCCTTCTGGCATAGGACTCTAGGCGATTTCAGATATAAATAATTTGTACATTGAAAATCAAAATGTCCAAGGCCCAATAATAAAAACGTGCAAATAAAATAACTATGCACAGGGCTTGGCGTTACCAGCTGATTGATAGAACCGGGCCAGTTCTACCACCCGTCTAGGTGAAGTAAGGGCCAAAGTGGTGTGTTGGGCAACAGGAACACGGTTCCAGGATCCTATTGCCCTCAACCACCAGAATCCCTTCCTCCACCGACACAGGGGCGCAACCCACGGCAAACGGGTTGGTGGACCTAATATTCCCCTGGGTCCACAACGGGGGTTGAAGGGCGCTTAGCGTTACCCAGCACCCACCACGAGGAGGTGGCCTTTCATGGGTGCCCCCTGTCTAAAGATAATAGCATAAAATAACATTGTTTTGGTAATCTATAGTCAGGCATGTTTAGAAGTCTGCACCAGTATTTCACTGCATTGGTTGTATAAGTAAACTGTAAAGGCACTCTTCCACATTCACCCAAGACCATATTGTTACAGGTGGATTTTCCAAGTTTCAAGACATATTTACAGAATTTAATATGGACAGATTCAATGGTATTACAGTAGGATGTGCCCCAGATTTCAGACCCATAACAGAGAATGGGTGATATCATACAATCAAAGATTTTAAATAAATAAACATAATGCTCCTCGTGCATTCAGCCATCAATCCCGGCTTACCTGTTTATAGAGTACATGTAAGTGAAGGGGTTCGCGGTAGCAGGGTCTGTATCATTGAAATGGGAGAAAGATCTGTTGCATAATTATTCTTCCTCTTTCATAGTTGTTTTGGCATTCACAATTCACGATAAAGACTCATTTATAATAAAACAAAAATGGATCGGAATCCTCAAAACCTTTATATAACACCCACCCTAAACCAGCTCTCACACTCACAACTACACACACACTCCTCCCCCCCCCCCCCCCCTACCATACAGACTCACACCCAAGCCAACCCATTCTCACACCGACATCAGCATCAAACCCAAACCCACTCCCGATCTCAGGTCCACCTCCAAACACACACACACACACACACACACACGCACACACGCACGCACGCACGCACGCACGCGCGCGCGAACCCATATCCACATTCGAACACACACACACACCACCACCACACACCACACCATAAACCACACACCAAAATTAAGTTTTGTATATTGAAATTTTTGTGCGATATTGACGTTCTGAAAACGCTTCCTAAAAGCTTATAATGTAAGTAACATGTTTCACATGAGTCTACCGGAAAGAGGGCATATCAGGCTAGCGGAGACCAGACGATTATAACCGCTACAACCAGTTTCAAGATCGAATGCAGCAAACAGACAGCGCCCTTCTCCTAGCTGTATAAACACAGACCACATTCACGTTACCGTATAATCAACAGGATACAGATACAGGATATAGCATTGCTTCGTCTCAGCTTATAAGGGGCGGTCTGTGAGCCAAGTGGTTAAAGGTCACATAAACCCTAGGGGGTACAAATACATAAATCACTAACTGGCATCGTTATAAATGAAACCCCGTCATTAAAACTACTCATTTCGACCTTTAATTGACTTAAATCGACCTTTTTGACAACAGTGCACAATTCTCACCCGCGAACGAAATTTCAACCAATCAGAGCGGCGCGCCTCTGTGACGTCATATGAGGAATAGCTTTGAGGGCCGATGCAGAATTCATCTACATTTTAGGGGTTAAATTATCTTGTTTACAGGCTTGTATAAACCTGAAATCGTGACAATTGTTGTGGAAAATGAAAGCTATATGTTCTCACAATCTACTGTCATTTAATTTTGTCCCCTGCTTTGCCTAGTTTCCGAGTTACAACTTGTTTTCATAGACGATTCTGTCAAAATCGATTGGTGTCGTTAGGCCCTATTTGTATAATGACTGATCCAAATTGATCCCATTTCTGTGTTTTTTTTCCTCGATATTTAATCATGTCATGTAAAAATCTGTTTGTATTCTCAAAACAGTGTCGGCCCATAAGTTTTCACATGCAATACAGCAATTAATACTCCCTTGTTGTAACCCGTGTTAGGTGGTATAAACCTACACATGTTATTTGTCATCATTCACTTGGTCAGTTAATGAATTTATAACAGGTATAATTAGTGGTAACACACTTAGATTACCCGACAAAGGTTCCCATTTGGCATTCTTGTGTCTGGAGTAAATATTCAACATTATAAACATCGATCAAAGGATTAACCGATAACACGCTGATTGATTAATTACTTTTATCTTACACAGCGGAATTGTCAAAAGGTAGTGTTTATGTATGTCGATTTACTAATCTATACTGAATACACTCTGTCGTGTCGGTGTCTGCGTAAAAACAACGTCCTTCTTTCAAAGGATTAACCGGCAATACATTGATTGATTGCCCATTATTGGCTAACTAAATTACTGTTTTTAAAGAAAGGCGGATATTATGCAATTAGTTTCCAGGTGTGCTATCTTGGGTGACCAATGAGACTATACACCAATACCTGAAAAGATTTATCACTTTTTCGTATATTAAACTGTTAAAAGACACATAATTTGGAACAGTTTTGTGGATATTGATGGATACATTCCTCAAACAAGGTAATGGCCTGATATTGTTCCTATAACTTTAATCTGTTTTAATTTTAATATTTGCATTTTGTTTTTATTCATTTGTCGTAGCATTCAACAGAATCATTGTTTTCGCCCTGAAGTGTAATGAGACAGACAACATGCACTAGGGTGTGTGTGCGATTTATGATTCACATTGGCAAACTATAAAATGTCTAGATATTACAGTTCTGTTATAAATTCACTATAAGTATGAGCAGATCGTCTGCTTTTTATTTAGTTTCAAAATGCATACAAGTATGATAATAAACTAATTAGGACCAAATATAAAGACGCACATTGACTAGTATCTACATACTGGTGAGTGGACATTAACCATGTGAATGTAGCAAGAAATTTATCGCGCAGTATTGTGACATCGACCCCCACCTCGCTTCCGTGGAAGAAATCGTTATGTTATAAGTTGTGTCATGCAAAATCCGTTTGGTTATGATTCCAATACATATTTAACTACGTGTAGAAAGTAGTTTTGATTTTCTAACTTGATGAAAACAAACTATAATCTCATTAATTCTAACAGATTTTTAAAAATGGCGGCACCCTGTCGGGAACATCCGCCAGTCTGAGGATAAATGGTATTTAGGTTTGTTTTCACCGAGTTACAAAATCAAAACTACTTTCTACTGGTAGTAAAATATGTATTTTATTGATGGCCAATAGGATTTTACATGACATAGCGTATAACATAACAATTTCTCTCCTGGCAGCGAGGTGGGTGTCAATATAATACTACTTACAACATTATTGTTACTTCGACCACAACCTCGCTCCCGAGGAAGAAATCGTTATGTTACAAGTTGTGTCATGGAAAATCTTTATGGTCATCAATCATATGCATATTTTACTACAACTAGTAAGTAGTTTTGATTCTTTAACTTCCGTGAAGCGATCTGAACACAAGTAAGATATCGTTTCAGGCTTCCACAATGCTCGCTTCGCACTCACAAACATAACCCATTTAGCACGAACTGCGGAGTCCTGTGGAAATCGGTGCATGGGGACACCATCGCCCGACCCCTAGGAGCAATTGACGACAAAGCAACGATTCGGCATGTCGTCGTTGATGTCGAGAAATCATCAAAATGATGAGCGTGCTACACACTTTCTATACAACTAACTGAAAATCGTTCCTCATATGACGTCACTGCAGTGCTCTGGCGACAGAGTTACGTAACCTGTCTGTGGTTTCGTTGGCGGGCGAGAGGGAAGCAGGCGACTTTTTGGCCACTTTTAATCGCTCGGTATTAATTAACCACAAGTTTTTAAAGAATAAATTTGGTGTTCCGCATAAGACTAACCACAAATCTTTCATATGTAATAGTTAAAAGAGTAACAAAAAACAAAGTTTATTGGTTCTTTAAAGCCTTGGCTCAGGGCGAGAGAGACTCAGGTTTGAATCCCCACATGGTTACTATGCGTGAGGCCAGTATTCACAAATACGTTCACACTCGTTCCTGGACATGTTATTTGGTAGATTACATCCGTCTGAATTAATGTCACGTCTTATTTGGTGTTTAATCGCATTCTTCTTGCTTTAACGTTCGGCGACGTGCTATACGTATTTCAGGAAGTAGAATGACGTCACATATCATAATCTCGTTCCAAATCAGTTGCAGAAATAACAGACTGGACGTAAGTAGTTTTCTGTCCGAGAGAGTTTTCAGGAAGTTTCACTATTCCATAGGCATTTATTACAGTTTTCATACAATAACTATCGTGCAGCATTATTGGCTCTGCCTTTGCGCACTGTAATTCTTCTTTTTAAAGTAGATTTATTAAAATCTAGTAATTATAGAAAGTTTATCTATATCCCTCTTCACCTCTTCAAAAAAGACAGTTTGGATGGGACATCATACATCCTGACAACCACGTTTCCAACCCCCAACCCGTTACTGTAAACAAAACCAGAGCCAATAACATATATTTTTAGGGTTTAAACCACGAAAGTGAAGCATTTCTGCAAAGAAACTTCCTTTGAAGCAAACAATCGGCGGGGGGCCACCCACTTTCCCCATAACTACGTTTCGGGATTTCAGCTTTATATGGTCGCTTTAAAAGTTTGAAAACCCTTAAGTAAACATGTCTTCCTCCACTTCCAATAGTTAATGCTAAATGATTTGTTTCTTTGAACAATATTTCACTTATTTCACTTACACGGCATCAGGACAATCCAGGGATTGACAGCATTAGCATCTGTTTTTGTTACTGAGCGGATGATATGCGATCAACATGGTCACTGAGTATAACCCCACCCATGTATTTACCTCCCACTACAAGCGTAGATTGCTGTGAAACCATATCGTACCCGGAATCCCACAGGTGTGTTTGAGAATTGAAATTCTTTCCGTCCAGATCCGGGATTCAGCGACCCAAGCTTGTTGTAAGAGGTGAGTAACGGGATCAGGTGGTCAGGCTCGATGACTTGGTTGGTGCATGAGATCGTGTCCCAGTTGCGTAGATCGATACTCATGATGTCATTTACTGGATTGTCTGGTCCAGATTCAATTACTTTCCACCCCGCTCAAATAGTTGTGAAGATCCCGGTTAGAATTGGTCTTCCGTAAACCATGCCTGTCATAAGAGACGACTAACGGGATCGGGTGGACAGGCTCGCTGACTTGGTTGACACATGTCATCGTAGATCCATGCTCATGCTGTTGATCACTGGATTGTCTCGTCCAGACTCGATTATTTACAGACCGCCGCCATATAGCTGGAATATTGCTGAGTGTGGCGTAAAACTAAATTCACTCACTCAAATAGTTGTAAAATTGCTGAGTGGGGCGTTAAGCACAGAACAAGCACACCAAACAAATAATTATTATAGTTAAAACACTATGACAAACACTTCAGTGAAACATCGACGTGTCAGCTTAAATAACAGACGAAACCCCGAACTGATTCAGGTCCACTGAATCTGTTGCTCTAATTCATGTCATACAACATATTCTAAATATCGTGCATGTGGAACATTAGCACAGAAATCGATAACGAACACTAAGCCATGATCACGTTTCCTTCATCTCTGAAATCATTTTATCCGAAACTAGTCGACGTTTTCAATCCAACTTATGGTGACCTGAGACACCATCAGCAAATCAGTGCTTATCTTGCGTGATGAAGATACATCATAACAACGTCCTCCCCCTCACCACGTGTACGGCAAGGCGATGTTCTGACTCGCGGCCTATTGACCTTCAGTAGGTTGCTCGTGTTGGCGAAGCATGTTATTCCTCTCCTCTGTTTGTGTAACCACATTGTCCATTTTTATCTTCTCCTACACCGATATCTCAATGTCAGATCCATCCAATGTCAACAAACACGTATTCCAAGATTCGTCTTTTTAGATGTGGGTGTCCAGAGACTCAAACAAAAAAGGTGGGTGTCGAGAGACTCAAACAAATAGGTGGGTGTTCAGAGACTAAAACAAATAGGTGGGTGTCCAGAGACTCAAACAAATAGGTGTGTGTCCAGAGACTCAAACAAATAGGTGGGTGTCCACAGTATCAGAGCCCAAGAAGTTTGGTGAGATGAACTGGGATCTTACGTTTTGCTGACGATTATTTTACGCATGTAGCGTGTGCATGTGCGTGTGTGTGTGTGTGTGTGTGCGCGCGCGTTCGTGTGTGTGTGCGTGCGTGCGTGCGTGCGAGTGTGCGTGTGTGTGTGTGTGCGTGCGCGTGCGCGTGTGTGCGTGTGCGTGTGTGTGTGTGTGTGTGTGTGTGTGTGTGTGTGTCCACACCATAACGACACAACCATTAAGCGACTTGTCACTGAATGTGCAGGGCTTCATATCATTGGCAACTTAAAGCTATTTAGAATATAAAGGGTAGCATCATCAATATTCAATTTAAAAACAAGCGATAACATATGTTCGTTGAGGTCGTTTGCAGCTAACTATGAGCTTTCATTTACAATCATGTCGTCGTGCATGTCCATCGATCCATCCAGAAGATACTAGTACCATGGGGATCTGGACAAAGTACTGACATACTTGTTATAATTATCAAATTAATACTAAAGGCCTGTTCGATTATTGCGGAACTGGTATTGGTTTCTGATGCTTGTTTTTCCTGTTATAAAGTGTCTAGTTTCGGATACATGGCTTCAAAGTGAAACTAGTTTATAGCTTAATAAACGAATGGATGGTTTCCCCATCCGGTTTCAAAATGGATGCAAAATAAATGTCTCAGCTACTATGTATGTGGAACGAATTGAATGACAGCATTGCCGAAGGTAATATTTTTTGTCATTTTATCAGGGAATTAACAAATAGTAAAGAGATGATATGCTTTTGGAGGTAAATATTTGCGTATATGTAATTATACTGTTACAAGTAATCATATGTATACAAGTCACATAAAATAGTCACGTTCACTAGACTGGGATTTCAAATAATATTTTCCTAGTTCTCAGTTGATTTTTATCATTATTTTGGTTACAGAAACTGCTAGTGTGGTAGGGTGGGTACAGTTTTCAAGTCCCGTCGAAGTTTTGTGATGAAAGCAAGGCGTTGTGTTATTTGTATTCATCAGACATTGTAGTTAAATAAAAAGTTTGGTCCAAGTTGAAATATGGTGCAAATAGTACTTTTGAGCACTGTACAAAATGGTTGTGGAAAAGCTTGCTAAAAGGTCAGAAGGTCATAATGGGAGAGTTGAATATTTAAAATTTAAGGTTATTAACTTTATCCAAGTGTGTTTCAACATTTCATGAAATATTTTATTTAAAAATTAATTTTTTTTAATTAAAACAAAATGAAAATAATGAACACTCCCTATCCAAAAAAGGCAGCTATCAGACGAATTTAAGCAGATGTAGGTTGTGTGCATTTTGTAAGTATATGATTGCTTCAGTTTATCAAATCAATGTTAATCCAGCTATTAATAAAAGTGAAAGAACAGTTATGTATGTATGAAACTAATAAGAGATGTCTATTTCTGTTTGATGAGACTGTCAGTAAGGGAGCAGTCCTTATTTCAAAATGTAAACTGAGTCAAACAAGAAACTTCACAAAATGTAATTTGAAAAATAATGAATAATTTTTCTCTTTAGCGTTAGCAAAACCCACTCAAACCCATCCATTCGTCGTGCAAATGACGTTAGTGCCAAATCAGGTTTTGCACGTGCAGTCGGTCACGTGATCTTCGTATCGAAGTTTTCTTCATATGCACGTGTTTGCATTGGCCTCAAGAATTGAAAAAACACTTTTAAACCACAGTTCTAACGGTACTTCAAATGCCACGATTGTCAAATGTGCAACGTGAACGTGCCGTTGGCATGTTGCAAGCGGGAAGATCAGTTATTGACGTCGCAAGAGCAATGGGATGCAGCCGTCGTACTGTGTATGACTTGCGAGGTCGTCTACAACAAACTGGCACCACTTCTGATCGCCCAAGGTCGGGTCGTCCACGTGTGACGTCACGAGCAGAAGACCGTCAAATCGTCCTACGTCACCTACGTGACAGATTTCTGCCGGCTACACGAACCAGGGCTGAGATGTTTAGAGGTCGATTGTCCTCACAGACCATTCGAAATCGGTTGCGGGCTGCCAATCTCCATTTTCGACGTCAATATCGTGGGCCAATATTGACGCCGTTCATCAACGTCAACGTCTGCTGTGGGCCCAACGTCACCTCCGATGGACCCAGAGAGACTGGAATCGAGTCGTCTTTAGCGATGAATCCAGGTTTATCCTCAGATTCGCGGACGGCAGGCATAGAGTCTGGAGACGACGTCGTGAACGGTATGCCCAATGTTGTGTACAGGAAGTCGACAGATTCGGGGGCGGAAGTTGCATGGTGTGGGGGTGCTTTCTGTGGGAACAACCGTTCCCGACTTCTGGTCATCCGTGGAAACCTCACAGCTGCTGCTTACCGCGACCAGGTGCTCACCCCCTGAACTCATTCCTTTCATGGCGGCTCATGGCCCAGGTCTACAGTTCCAGCATGATAATGCTCGGCCGCATACCGCGATGTTGACACGAAATTTCCTTCAAAACGCTTGAATCAACGTCATGGACTGGCCATCGAGGTCCCCTGACCTTAATCCAATAGAGAACGTTTGGGATGCACTTGGGAGAAGGCTTCGTGGTCTTAGGAACCAACCTCAGACTTTGCAGGAACTTGGCGCTGCCTTGCAAGAGCAATGGCGCAGAATCCCCAACCACGTGTTCACAAGCATCAGGCAGTCGATGAGGAGACGGTGTTTGGCAGTGGTGAATGCGCGGGGCGGCCATACACGATATTGAACTGATAAATTTCGCATTTTTATTCTTGTGACTTGACATTCTGTATACCCATGTTTTGGAACGGCGGTGTAGCCTAATGGAAGTGATTATGGCACTGTCAGTGTATCGAGTACATCACACAGATCTCAGCAATGAAATAATAACAATTTAACCATCTTACCATCTCTTGTTCTTTTATAGTGCCCTGAAGAAAGAATGTGAAGTTTCTTTTTTGACTCAGTATATTTGAAGACTGGTTGTCTTTACGGGATTCTTTACGGTAACGGAAATGATATTCCTTCAGTGTGGATTAGACTGCTCGTGTTATTCAAGTTATAATCAACCGAATTATTACCTTTGAAAACAGTTCCACAATGATCCTGTCCTGGGCTCTCCTGTACGGGTCTGAGGGGGTCAGTTTGTTGTTGGGGTACGCTTCATCCACGTAGTCAGAGCAGATCAGGGACTCATAGATCACTTTGTCGTCCAGTTCGAAGATGGGTACAGCGCCCTTGGGGTTCCTGTCCCAGAACCAAGATGGCTTCTGCAGCAGGTCAATGTTCACTACCTCGTGTCTGGGTGAAAAATAATAACAATCAATATTCATCATAAATACAACATGTGTTTTTGTCTTTTTAATAAAAACGGGTAATGTGTTTTAAATGTTCTCGATGGATCGAACGAAGTCTTGTTCCCTCAACGGGGCGTAGGGACTGAACCTCGTGTGTTTGCTCACACTAAGTTCCTATTCTCTTGAATTCGTCTCTCTCTCTTAGCATAGGGACGAGACCTCGAGTGTTTACTCACACTCTTTCATTGAACTAGTCTCGCTCTCCTAGCATTGGCACGAGATCTCGAGTGTTTACTCACACTATGTTCCTATTTTTTTAACCAGTTTCGCTCCCTTGGGTGAAACCTCACGGATGCATCAATGTTCCTATGAGTAGAGCCAGTCTCGATCTCTCTGCGTTGGGACAGCAATTTGTGATGTATGCACACTTTATTCTTCTATTATCTTGGACTAGAACTCTATGAAACACTGCACTGTACTCGCACTCTTACATCCTGCCCTAGAATTAGTCTCGCTGTCACTATAGAGGCACATCCTATGGTGGATACTTACTCAATGTTCTTGTGATGCAGAACTAATCTCGTCCTCTCAGCATAAGGGCAAGACCTCATGCTGCAGACCCTTATTTTCCCCGGGGTGAGGGGTGGGAAGGCAGAAGCTGAAACAAAAGTATTCTGATACACTGACAACCGCTGCAATGACGCCTAGTCGTGATCATTACAAATCACACAGTCATCTGGGTATGGTGAACTACTTGAGAAGTCAGGTAACAGTCTAGACTTTGTGTTTACAGATATGTATCATCCTCATCCCTATTTTGTTCTTTGATTTTGGTGCCCACAGGGATCTGTCCGCACATCTCTTTATTTTGTTTATTTTAGGGTTTGGTGGGGTTTATATAATCTTCTATTTTGGAAAACGCCGAGCCTCATAATAATTTTTATATAAAACGCCGGACACTCTGTTCTTGCCCGACTCGGACAAGAATCGAAGTGTTAAGGAAACATTTATTTTCGCACAAATTCTTTTTTCCTAGCGTCGCCAGTACTCCTGATTTTGTTTTCTTTGTCCCCATGTAACAATATTTTGTCATATTTCCACAAAACGCTAATGTGGAGAATATATATTCTCAAGACTTTTTCTTTACAAGCCAAAAATATACCTGGAATTTGCAATCACATTTTCATTTGTTTCACTAAAAATAAGCCAGTAACCGATCAAAAAAACATGTGGCCCTAAGTAATGTACAATATTTGCAACACAGAACATTCATAAGGGCTAATGAAAACGTTATGATTTATATAGAACTCAACGAATAGTACTCAACAAATATACTGAATATAGTTCACGTCGACGTCTGTGTGAGAGTGTATTGTTTTTACGCCATTTTGAGCAACATTCTATGGAATATCATAACATGGGACACCAGAAAAAAGTTTCAGACAATGTTCCTATGTGGGGAATTGTACTCGGGTCTTCGGCGTGGCACTTTAGCCACTGGGCTACCCATCGTGATGATCCGAGTTAAATACTTTGTATTATGAGTAAAGCTCATCCTTGGTGTGTCCTACTCATCTGATCTTCTTGTCCCTTACTCACCCACTCGATCACAGTTTCATTCCCAAATCACACTAAATCAGAAAATACGACTCGATTATACTCGTTCTCTCACCCAGTATACCATTCAATAGTCTGTCGTACAGACCCTGAAGCAAATATATCCAAGAAAGCCCACGCAAGTCTAGAAAATGTGGCAAGTCTAGATTTCCTCTGAAATGAAGAAAGTCTCAGGGTTCCTTTTCATTATATTTTTTTTTTTACTATGAATTTTTTTCAGTAAAATATATTCATTTCAGAGACTGGTTGTTAGTCTAACAATTCAACAACTTGACCACTCTCTATACAAGTCACCCAAACACCAGCAAAGACATTGTACTCAGTCCCCACGGCGCTGGACGTCATTTCACAATAGCGAATCAATATCTAATAACACCAGGACAAAATCAGGCTCAATGCCCCTGAAGAGGCGCCCGAAACCTCTGCGACACACTCCCATGTATAAAAACACATTTCATCACTTCCACGCCCCAACCACTGACCAAAAGTTCAACAGTCCAAGCTTAAACATATTTGAGCTGGAATACATGGTTTTGATGCAAATCAACAATGTATGTATCCCAATCTATCGCAACAAACATGGTGGTGTCATGGCTATCACGTGAGACAAGACGGTGACATTGTAAAAAATATACTCACTGGCTGTGTAGTTTTTTTTCAGTCATGGCGATGTTGTCTGTGAATGAGTTCAACACGGATGCGGATGCATATACAATGTATGCGGAAATTAGAATCCCAGTCACGATGACGAAGCGCAATCTACTCGCTGTGGAATATTCAGATGCCGGTCCACTTCAGCTCTCGCGTGGCTTGGCCGCTCTGGTTGGGTAAATGTTTACACAGTCTACATATTCAAGGGAATCTTTACCTGCAGCATTAATTTGGAATAATGCAGGCCTTGCAAAAGCCATATCTTTATGCTACCTAAAACAATTCTTGTCAATTTCTCCTTACATGGAACACACAATATATATCTATAACAATAAACTGCAAGTGTGTGTTTAGTTACATTCTGTATCATTTGCGTTGAAATACTTAATACTTGTACTAAATGTAGACAAAAAGATGAGAAATGTTGGAATAATTTGTTTCATATTCCTAGAAATGGATGCCTTTTCATTGAAGTATTTGACCATCGTGGAATCATTATGTTCATTGTGCTTTCACACAAGTATATAAAACTGTGTCTTCGAATCTGTATAAAGGGTGAATGTCAGAATGTCTGTTTGCTTTTAATGTTCATATTTGACGATGACCAATAAAACAAATGACAAAGAACAACCAATTATCTGTCCCTCCTGATATAAACTGTGTAAGTCACTCGCCACTTGGGTTAGCTAAGTGGTGAAACCGTTCTGTCCCGCGCCGAAGATCCGGGTTCGATTCCCCACATGGGCACAATGTGTGAAGCCCATTTCTGGCGTACCCCGCCGTGGTATTGCTGAAATATTGCTAAAAGCGGCGTGAGACCATACTCACTCATTTGTTCACTCGTGACATATGATCCGTCATTCCTTGACACACGTATCAATATCTTCACCCAAAACATATCCCTCATGGATCTTGTAACATGTGATAGAAATAAACCAATACCAAATCCAGTGAACAAGCTTTATTAGGGCAGAAAATTGAAGCTCCAAAAGTATTATGTTTCATCAATTTCATCATACAAGCAACGACCTTACATTGGCGAACGAATGTCAGTGTCTGTGATAACCCGGAGATAGATCTTCACAATCGCATAGTACCATGAATGCATGTCCTTTCTAATCCGAAGGAAACAGTTGTAATAAAGGACATAACCTTGGTGTATTTTGTTCGAAAGTGGTAGTTCCAAAGTTTATTGCCTTATTTAAATATGCCATCAGGGTTCTTGTGTTGCAAATCTTTAAAAAGTAAATAATATCACCGGGGTTCTTGTGTTGTTAATACAGATTTGTAATGAACGCAACAAATGTGAAAAGCAAATCTTCTTTGGCCCAAGTCCTTGATCTAAGGAGAATTTCTTCGTGACTAAAATTTCCCTGAATCAGCTTCAATGTTCAGATCAATGTTTGTTTCTGCATGTGCTCCTTATACTGTATGGTGTGTATATTGTGGAAACTTGTGAGACCAGAATGATTCTGACATCACACATCACTGGAGCTATACACTCCAAGAAGGCATGATCATCTACGCAGCAACAACAGCTATATTATGTTATCATCTGCACAGTTCTGTGAAACTACTGATTCAAATTCAAAGCCCGACGTCAAAATCTGGTTTACCAGCTTTGGCTGTTTCTACGAAATGGATATGAGACGGTGTATCCCAACGACACTTCTGTACAGCTGGTACCGTCCCCATGTTTTCGATCCACTTGGTAAACTTTGGGTACCGATCTGCTGGCACACTCGCTTCTTTCACTAACTGGGTCATGGCATCAAACCTTTCAACGTGGGGCCACAGCATCAGGTCAACCATCTGGACAGCGCTGCCTGAAAGGTGAAAACATGAGATATTCACATGTCAAGTAAAACTATTAAAAGTTGATCATTGTAAGGACGAAGAATCCGTATATGTAATGCGATGAAGTCGAAGTCTGAATATTGTCTGACTGACTGACTGACTGAATTTAGTTTTACGCCGCTTTTAGCAATATTCCAGCAACATCACGGCGGGGGACACCAGATATGGGCTTCACACATTGTAGCCATGTGGGGATTCGAACCCGGGTCTTCGGCGTGACGAGCCAACGCTTTAACCACTAGGCTACCCCACCGCCCCAACATATTGTCTGAGCAAATGCTTCGTATTAAAACATAAATGTTTTCAAAAACAGAATGTATGTAGAACCTGTAATACCCAATCGATGATCTGAGCAGCTCAGATCATCGAATGGTAGGGCTGGCTATCGATATCGATCGTAAAATCGATAACCGTTAGCCAAATATCGATCTTATATCAATAAATATCTTAAAAGTAACTTGCAAAAAATATCTGAAAGAAATTAATATATTTCACATCAATGGTGAGTGATGACATTATGCAGGGCTCCAGATAAGGACCGCATCGGCGTATGTACGGATAAAAAATATGCACGATACGGTAGGAAATAATTTAGAAAACGTAGCAGATACGCACCACGGCAATGGTGTACGGTATTAGAATCATTAGCAGACGTATTTATCTGAAAAAGTATTGTTTTATTGTTTATTGACCTGTTGTGGTGCAGATATGAAACGAAACACAAGATTACTGATACTCCATGAAATTCCATTCAGTACTCTAAATGTACTCTTCCAGTACTCCTATATTGAAAACAATAAGGAGTACGTACTCCTGATGTTGAAAAATTATCTGGAGCCCTGTGACATGTTTTGCATGGATTTTTAACAAAAGAGCGTCCTGAATGTAATTATGTCTTATGTTTGTGTATTCTCAGAGAAATGTAAGACTTTTTTTCTCTCACAAACGTTTATGTACCATATTATCGATAACACGATTTTCATATCGATAACCATTAATAATGTTTCCTATCGACGATATTTCCGATTATCGATCATTGTAGCCAGTCCTACCCAAGCAACTCTATCACTTATGTCACAGACCATTGTACCGCGGGTGTGTCTTGCAACAAACAATCATAGGGAATTCTGACGTACAATAAGTAATTTCTAAAGGTATCTGTTGGCCTAAACTAATGTCTTTCAAAATGCCCTAATCCTAAAATAAATCAGATACTTTCCCTTTGGTTGAAGTTGTTCATTTAGCATCATGAGACAGTTTAACAAACATCCTGATCACAATTTTTAAGTCACATCGTTTTTAAAAAAGGAAAAGATTCTTACCACCAAAGAACGGGGTCCCCCTGTCTGCAAGAGCCTTCTCAACCCTATCAAGAGCCTCATGGAATCCCGTAATAGCTTCCTTTGAGACCTCTTTGCCATAAGCTATCTTGTAAAAGAAGGACACTACCTGAAATGTATAACAGTAGTTAGTATCCTAGCTGGGGAAACAGGATGCCTAGTTCTTTCCCTTAGTCGTGGTAGGATCCGCTGGTACCTGGTTCGGAACCTTATTGCATATGGAAAAACGATCCTTGCTTTGTTACCACCAGGCCCTTGCTCGTCTTTCACTGCGCTTGAAAGTTGTGTAAGATCGGCATCAATTTAGGCTATGATCCCGTATTTAACTGAAACTGTTCAAAGCTCCGAAACAGACAGCATTAAGTCACACAGTCACTACTCTCTTTACAGCAAATTACTTTGAATATCATGTGACAATGAGATTATTATGTTTTATGAATTTATTATATTCACAACTACTATAAATAATTTTATAAATAAATCGTTTTACAGTCACAACTATGAACCATTGCTTGGTTCAAGAACATGAAGTGCATAGACTGAAAACACGAATATCGTGATGATGAAAGTAGAATTATAATGACCAAGAATTCGAAGCAAAAAATTAAAAAAAGGGACGATACTCAGCACTACAAATGTCGGTACATTTGCCGAATGGGCCACGTGTCTTCTCCAAGATAAATTTCGGTGGTCATCAGGGGATTCTTTGCATTAACACAAATGATATTTCTTTTATGTGGACTGTGCTGTTTGTGTTATTCAAGTAACAATAAACCAAACTATTACCTTTGGGAACAGTTCCACAATGATCCTGTCCTGGGCTCTCCTGTATGGGTCTGAGGGGGTCAGTTTGTTGTTGGGGTACGCTTCATCCACGTAATCAGAGCAGATCAAAGACTCATAGATCACTTTGTCGTCCAGTTCGAAGATGGGTACAGCGCCGTTGGGGTTCCTGTCCCAGAACCAAGATGGCTTCTGCTTCAAGTCAATGTTCACTATCTCATGTCTGGATGAAAAATGAATAAACTTTTCAATCAATATTCAT